CAGGAAACCAAACCGTGATGACTCCATGCTGACTTTTACCCTGGACAAGTGCAAAGATAAGCACGAAGGGATCTAAAATTGCTTCTGCTAATCCTTTTTGGAAACCAGGAGGAGGAGGAATTTCACCCAGCTCAGCAGGTTTGAAACAATACAATACGTGTAAAATTTTCTATGCTGCTGTTACCCTGTGCTAGCTTTAAAAAATGGTCTTTAATTGCCTGATTGTAGCTTGAAAGACTCATAGATCCTTAGAGTTGGAAGAGACCTTCAAAGGCCATCTAGTCCAACTCCCCTGCAATGAACAGGGACATGCACAGCTCAATCAGGTTGTCCATGAACGGATCCACCCTTGAAAGAAGGCTGGTACAACCACACAAGTACCAAACATTTTGGCTTTTTTCAGCCACATTTCCTTGCCACTGTGAAGTTCTCCCTGAAGGCTTTTCTTTTCTATGATGTTTTTATGTGTTCCTTCCTAAAACACCAGAACTGGAAGAGAAGGCCACTGCTCCCATCCTGGAGTACTTAGCTTGATTAGATGACATTGTAGGAGGGCTATTTCCTCAGATACTTGCATAAGACATTAAAAAAAGAGGTCTTTTCTGTGCCTGTTTTAAGAGCCCTGGTTCTCTGGTGGTTTCCTTTGCAGTCATGGAGAGAAAAGCCCAGGGAAAAGCTTGCCCTGTTTTGTTCTTTGGACCAACTTACTTATCCAGAGATGTAGGAGAGAAACTGCTGCATCTCTTTCAGGAGAATTTTCTTGAGAAAAATATGAAAATATTTTACATTCTAAAGTGGATCTTCTGCCAAAATGTTTTTCTCTAAACCTAATAAAACCAAATTAGACTGTTCCCCAGCTCAGGAATGAATTTCGTCTGGTTGTGTGTCATGGATATAATAAACAGTTTATACAAGAGCAAAGGCTGTGTTTAAGTGCAGCCGAATCCTGTTTGGTTTTCTGTGATTAACCTAAACAATTTATAAATGGATGAAGTAAGTTAATTTAAATTCTTTTTTTCCATTTCCTTTGGATTTGTTAAGATTGGTTTCTTAAAAGCTACCCTTCCATAAGTGAATTCAAGACGTGCATTCACAAATGTTAACACTCCTGCAGTGGAATGAACTTGCCGTCTTCTTTTCCTTATTTAATAAGACATACATCCTCTTTAGAAGCACTCGGGCTGAATGCCCCATTCTCGGTGGGAGATGCTGTTAATGCCTTGAAACACGGGACCATTTTGCTGTGCCATTCAGAGCATCCCAAGGAAGATGTCAGTCTAATCCCCCTGCATGATGCTTTTGCAGACTCCTCCTCGCTGACAATGCTGAAGTGTTTGTGACATCGGAGTATGGAGGAAATGCTGCTTCTGGTCATCACAGGGGGGGTTAGCTGCAGCAAAAGCATGAGGAGTGCAAAGCTTAACAGATGAAAAATTAAAAGTCCTGGGATGAAATTTATATCCTGCTCAAAACCTTTTAGCTTATTAAAGCTATAGCTGCTCTCTTTCTGCCTCCAAGAACACCGTACGGATAATGGACAGCAAGCACCTTGAAGAGGATCGCTCCCTGGATTCAATTTCACCCAAGGAGAAAAGCTCACCCTTCAGAAACAGCACTGGCTCCAAGTGTCAGCAGCTGCAGCTTCCAGTGGCTGAGTGCTTTTGCTATGGATGGGATGTGCTCTGTGAACCCATGTAGTCTCCTTGGGGCAGCACTTTGGAGCAGCATCACACACAGTGCTTCCCCCTGGGGCTGGGAGCAGCTGCCCTCTGGGTTTTCTCACTAGAGCCTTTCCCTGGGAGCCTTCAGTTCAGTGTGGTTAGAGCAAAGAAAGACAAAACACTGGTTTTTTTTGTCACTGCAGGCATTCGTACACCCTGTACAAAAGGCTTTGCTCTTTTAAAAATGGTGTTTCACTTTAAGTGATTTTCAAGTGATTGTCACAATGATTCAGAAGCAGCCCTGAGTAGGCCTCGTATTTTCACAGCAATTGCTGAATCTTCAAGTCTGGGAGGCATTCTTCATACACTGCCAGTGCATGCATTCCAATTTAATATTGATGTATTTATGATCTTATTGTACGGGATGGTCAGAACAACCTGGATGGATCGTTGCAGAAGCCCTCTATGTCTTTACATACATTTACAGGAAAATCAGCACATAAAGACTGGGCATACAGGCAGACAGACAGATGTTTATTCGTCTTCCAGATGAAAACTTTTCTGAAATGTAGGAGAAAAAAGGGAAGTGCTATCAGCCCCTCCCAAGACTGCTGTGGATGCCCCATCCCTGGAGGCATTCAAGGCCAGGCTGGATGTGGCTCTGGGCAGCCCACTCTGGTGATTGGTGACTCTGCACATAGCAGGGGGGGTTTGAAACTAGATGATCATTGAGGTCCTTTTCTACCCAGGCCATTCTATGATTCTAAGATAGCCAAGGGAAGGCTGAAGCTGGGCAGAGGTATCCGGGATCTTGTCTCTGTGGGTTTCAATGTCAGCTTGTCTGAGGAGCACTGTGTTCAACCCTGCCTCCTCAATCAGTTGACTGCTTTATTTTTTCAAGGCTTTAGCTACATAAATGCAACTGTCCAAAGAGATTGGTTTGTCCTCATTAAAACTAAGAAAATACTCCGCAGCAGATAATTTATGAGCTGACTTTTGCCTTTGCCTCTTCATGAAGTGATTAGATGGTGCTCAGAGCATTCATTATTCAACAGATTTAAATCTATTTCCTGGGCTCGGCCCTCCCAGGAGCCTCTCAATTTGGCTGTGTTTCAACAAACCGCTGGCTTTGTCCTCAGCTTGCTGCCCAGGATTACAGCCTCTCAGCTGCCTGAGGTCACAGCTGGGTGGGAGCTGGTATGGGCACTGTGGGCCAATGGGCTCTGGGCAGCCAGCAAGGCACACCACAGGCTCAGGACAAAGGGGCCTGGTGGGCCCTGGGTGCTCCCAGGAACACACATGTGCCTTAAAGCACACCAGCATCCTGCAGCAGGGTGCAACACTTACACCTATGCTGTTTTTGGCAACCACCAGAGCCTTCTGACCACGCACATGGCGTGAGCCCACTTGCAGGAATTTTTTCCAAGTAATAAAGGTGGTATGAATGCAGCCAAACGGCATTCAGGAGCCACAGGCAGAAGGATTGGAGCAGGCTTTGTTCCATCGTCTTTGTGGCTGGAGGGAAAAATTGCCATAGGCAGCGTTTTGTAACAACCGCAACATTAAAAAAAAAAGCAAAAAAGCAAGAGAAGGAGTTAGGGCTCAGGAAATAAATTAATCAGTGTTCCTCTGAAAGCAAAGGGAGCCTTTGGGTCCCAGCACAGCTGGCGTGACAAGAGGACAGTGTTGCAGGTGCTGGACACACAGCCCAGTTTGTTTCCAGGAGCATTCAGAATAATGATACTTTAATATCTCTCTTGTTGTTTTTTTCCCCTCAGGAGCTGGGGCATGATTTTTTTCACTGTTTGTGGCTTTTCCATTAACAGCTGGAGATTGTCAAGCAGGAGTGAAATCCCTACTGCACTGGGAGTTGTGCAAACTGGTAACGCAGAGCCAGCCTGTGCTAGGATTCTGGCCATCCCTGCTTAGACCACTGCACGGGTCAGTAGCAACCCCAAAAACAGCTTTTGTGTGCCCTGGTGCTAATATTCTGATTGACATACATAGGGGTTGAACTGAATGATTTTTAAGGTCCCTTCCAACTCAAGCCATTCTGTGACTGGGATTGATTCTATGACTTTGTGATTATTATATGACTCTGTGATTGATTCTATGACTATACCTTTTAAGAGCTGCTTAGAGAAAAGTATTGAATACCCTACTGAGGATGAGAAAGAGGGCAAATGACTTAACCAAAAAAAATGAAAAATTAATGATAGGTAGCATACTTTTTTTCACAGATGTTGTGTATTCAACTCTGTAGTTGAATACTCTGAAAGGCCTCTGTAGTTTGCCTGCTACATTTTTTAATACAATTTGTATTTGTTTCTGCACCACTCGTTTGCCCTGTCACACCAGAAAGACATTGACTTTAATCCAACCTAAACAGGATGTCAGGGCTTGAAGATCTTTGCACAGTGCACAGCCAGCAGTGGTGAGGGGTGAGTAGGGCAGAGCCACGACTAGGGCAGGGCACTCTGACACTAGACAGGACTCTGCTGGAAATAAATCATACAAGCATGCAGTCGTTTGAGTTGGAAGGGGCTCTTAAAGGCCATCTAGCCCAACCCCCCTGCAATGAACAGGGCTGCATACAGCTGCATCAGGTTGCCCAAAGCCTGGTCCAGTCTGATCTTGAGTGTGTCCAGGGATGGGGCAGCCACCACATCTCTGAGCAGCCTGTGCCAGTGAAAAACTTCTTCCTTATATCCAATCTAAGTCTCCTCTCTTTCAGTTAAACCAATTTTCCCCTTGTCCTGTCATAACAGACCCTCCTAAAGTGTCCATCTCCTTCCTTACAGTCCCCCTTCAATGTCCAAGCTGAACAGCCGCAGCTCTCAGCAAAAACATTTTTTGGGGCTGGCAGCTCTTCTCATATCATTGCTTTCTCGTGCTCTCTGCATGCCCTGCACAGGAGGGGTGGCTGGCTGAACACCGAGCACAGCACTGAAGCTGTGTGGCACAAACACATTAATCACACTCTTCCCTGTGACACAGATTTAGTGCACTGTCTTCTAGCTCACTTTAATACCGGACCCAAAAGAGCAGAGGATTAACAAAGACCTTACCTGTGCTTGAGTTGACAATAGGAGAGTCAGCTGTGAGCCTGTTTCTGTCCCCTGCCCGTGACCAGAGATGGTTTTACATGGTGAAGGAACGGCCACTGCATCCCTTTGCTGATGCTCTCCAGACAAGACAGCAGCACAGAGGGACACGTGCAGCAGCAGCTGGACATCTGGGCATCTGGTGAAAAGGGATGAGAATAAATCCTTTTAGGACAGGGATCATTTTTGCAAGAGCCCCCTCCTTATTCTAGATGCTCCAGAGATGAAAGACAAATTTGAGTCGGTGTTATTTTATTTGCAGCAATAAACATTTGATTTATATAAAACAATAAGAACAAAAAGCCCCCAAACACTGTTTACAAAGCAAGTTAAGTGCTCGAAACATTTGATAAAGAAGAGTATATAACATTCACATCCCTATTTCATACATGATGTACAGGTGAAGTATTCCTTAAGAGAATTTAAAAAAAATCCCTTTACATGTTGTAGTAAAAAAAAAACCAACAAAACAACAAACAAAATAAAACCAAGAAAAAACAACAACAACAACAAAAAGGAAATAAATGTGTCAGTACTGTCAGTAACTTCTGGATGCCATTCCCTGACCTTCAGTTGGGTGGAGGGAGAGAAAGCAGCCATGGCTGCCCTCAGCCCCCCAGTCCTGCTGTGCAGCACACAGCTGCGCCTCGCTAGATGGCAGTGGCCCTGCAGCTGCATCATTTTCCTTGCTTTTTTTTTTTTTTGGAAATGCAAATCCCTCTCCCCTTCAATTTGACACAGTGTCCTCTGAATCCTGTTGTAGTTGCTAAGATTTTGCTCTTTGTTTAAATATTTCTGAGCAGTTCAGTTAAAACAAAATGAACGGGGATACAATACCATTTGAAATGAAGTACTTCTTACTGCAAGTCAGTCTGAGTTCCTATTTAAACAAGCATGATTCCTACTAACTTGGCAATATCTTCTAGATTAATATAAAAGTTTATCTGTCAAAGATGTTCAGTGAATTGCACCTGATGCAGACCTGTGTGGGACTGCTCTGTGCTCAACTCCTGGTTTCCACAGCCCGCTTACATGCTGCACAATCAACAAGTACAATTAGCAGAGTGGCACAGTTAGCATTTTACAGGTCATGTAACTAGAAGGATTATCACAGTGGAAAGGGGATAATAAAAAATAAATGAAAATGCTCACCCGTGTCCTTGGCTCACAGAAAAAACTCCGAAGAAAGTGATCTCCAGAAAGAGACCCTTCCCCAGCGGCAGTCAGCACTTAAATAGGTCTAGGAGAGGTGCAGCCAGGCTCCACCCCTTCCATCACACAGCTGAATTGCCTTCACCTGTGCTCCATGGCTGACTCAGTGCTCACCTCAGGTGATCAATCAGTGGTTCAACAGTTCCCAAACACATGCCAAGGGAAGAAAAAAGTGAAACATCACTGCAGAACTCCTGAAGACAGAATCGTCAGAATTATAAAACGCACTGCTGTCTTTTGTATAAGTTTACATATGTCAACTGTCTGGATAATTAAATTCCCACTACCCTGCAGAGAAGAGGGCAGGATATGCCATGAACCTGATGCCATGGAGCCTTCCCTCATTTCTAAGGTCCTTGTGTGAAAGCAAAGGCACTGGGTGTTGTCTCCTGCTTTTCTCTAGAAAGCATGGAACAGTCAGGCTGTGGTACGTCAAGCAATTAGATATGCTGTACTAGGAAAAAGTTATTTGTTCTCACAGCAACGCAATTAAGGTAAAAGGAAAAGGGAAAAAATAAGTACAGTCTGCGTTCAGAATGCAGAGCAAATATAAAACATCTGCTTGGATTACTGCTGGACTTGGTGTGGTTTGAGGGTCAGGAAGGGAGGAGGGGAAAAATCTCATCCCGCTGCTATTTTGCAACCTGCTTGCAAGCAGCATGAACTCAAAGCAATAAAGACATAACACTAATGACCTCTGCATGGAAACACAGGTGGTGGGACCAAACCTCCTCATGCTCCCTCCCACTATGGGAGGCTGTGAGGACCTTGGGGTTAAGGCAAGAGGGCAAAGACGTCCCCGAATCTTCCCAAAAACACTGCAGGCAGGAGCGTGTAGTTACAACTGCAAAGCCAGATCTGTCTCCTTGCTGTGAGACTGCTGCTGCAACTGCCGTCTCCTGGGCCACAGCTGGGTGTGTGCAGCACATGCTTCAAAGCCATCCTCTTATTGCTCCTTGTTCCTATCTTTTTGGCAGAGTGCTTAGTGCACAATCGCTAGTGTCCTGATACACCAGTCTCCCCGGGCACTTTCCCAATGGGGAGGGATCTCTAATGCACAGGTAATTTCCTGCAAGCATTTTTTAAACTCTTTTCTTCAGATCATGGCTGTTTACAGATATATAGATAGATATATACATACACAGACATTTTTAATATATATGTATATATATATAAAAATAGCAATTTCATAGTTATATACAGGCATTATTAAAGTGCATAATGTTATTGGCTATTCTCAAATCTCATTTCCCGAGGAAGTGCTAACAGACTTAGCTCCTCCTATGACATGACGCCGGCTGCCAATGCTGGAGTACAACACCCACTCCCTGGCTTTTAACTCCCATGCATACATCTCCCTGCCCAGAGCCACAGCACAAAGGGAGTAGTGACAGCCTCAGTCCTCCAGGAAGCAAGTCAAGGCACCGATCGTGACTCCTTCCTCTGCCAAGGTAACGTGCTTAGGAGTAACCTCCCTCCATTTCGGAGCTCTTGGGTGCGTGCTACTTGGCGGTGGTCACGGAGCCGTCCTCGGGGATCTTCTCCTCTGAACAGCTTCTCCCTGAGAGCTTGTCGTGGTGCTTGAACTCACTGAAGCGCTCCGCCACGCACTGCGCCGTGAGCCGAGCCTCGGGGTCGTGGTCCCAGCACTCAATGAGGGTCTCACACACCATCTGGATGCCCTGTGGAGAGCACAGAGAGAGCACTGTGGTGGGGACAGCCACCGAGCCACCGCCGGTGCGTGCTCGTAAGAGCCGGCTGGGGTGTCCTCTGAAGCCTAGAGGACCGTTGGTGTGCCTGCGGTGACAGAACTGGTCCCAGAGGTGCTCAGTGGGCTCTGCTGTCATTGAAATGGGGACATGGTATGCTTTCTTTTTAAAGAAACCCTACAACCTTACGTCCACTGGCTCCAATGACCGGTAATGCCATTTCTAGACACGGAATCCCAGAATCCTTAGAATTGAAAAGGACCTTTAAAGGCCATGCAGTCCAGCTCCCCTGCAATGAACAGGGATGTGCACAGCTACATCAGGTTGCTCAGGGCTTGATCCAGTCTCCAGGGACAAGGAATCAACCACATCTCTGGGCAACCTATTCCCCAACCTTGCTACCCTCCCTCCTCCAAACCTCCACTTTTTGGTTTGGACCAGTAGAATCAAGTAGTTTTTGGTCTAATAAATACAATCAGAACAGCTGAATAACAACTTCCCACTCAACCCATCCCTCCGCATGGCTGAATCCTATTTGTGTTGTTGTTTTTTTTGTTTTTGACAGAATTCTGATTGCCAGCAATATCAAGCCTGACATCAGCCTTTATGAATTCTCCACAGACAAACTAAAACTGTGTGCAAATATGGGCCGCAGTCCCACAAACACTTAAACACATGTCACTCACAGATGTAACTATTTAACCTTCATTTCAATGCTGATGCACATGTTTACAGGAGCAAAAAAAACAGTTGCATCTTCGTAATGCATTTTGTAAACATGAGGTATTTGCCAGGAAATTGTGTGCTTTGCTTTATGACACTAGAAGCCCATTAAGCGGGATTTATCTTAAACTTCTTATTTAAAAAAATAACATTTCACAACACTACATTAATTGCATAATTTACCTAATTGTGATGTTGACTGATGTCAATGTTAATAGCAGAACGTTACTGTCTGTATACAAATAACATTAGTTTTCTGATGACATTGAAATTACAAGCAGTAAATTAAATTAAATATTAAACATTAACTTGAAATCAATAGTGCAACAAATCTCATTAAGGGGAAAAAAATGTAATATGTAAATCCATTCCAGAATTTTATCACGATGAATAATGAGTTCATTACGAAAACACGACTGCAGAGGGAGGAAATGAATATGGAAGAGCTATTACAGTAAAAGCAACTTCAGTGGAGTTCAAAGCAGATCCTCAGCTGCTGCAAACTGTCACAGCCCTGCTGAAGCCCATGCGTCACTGAGTTGTAGATAGCGCAACGTGAAACGCTGAAGGGATTCAGACAAAAGGAATTAAATCCACCTTCACTAAATGTCCTGGGAGGGTGTTATCAGGCATTCACTTCCTGCCTTAGACTCCTAATTGAGCCCTGCTGGAGCCAGCTGTGCCCACTCCAGTTACACACAAACGCAGGCAGCACATCCCAGCCGGCAGGACGTCCTGTGCTGGGCACCAACTGCCAGCACTGCTAGGACCCTGAGCCTAACACACGCAAGGAGCTGCTGGTGCTCCCTCGACAAGGCACGACCAGCCACGTTGCTGCTCCTGCTGCCATGCCGTGTGATGCCTGAAGCAGTTCAGCCCTGAATGCACACAGGTCTCTGGGCCACTTAACGTTACCCATGGCCTGCTCTAAGCGTCAATGACTTCTGCTTCATCGGTGCCTTTGCCATCTTCTACTACATGTATGTCATCTGACTCTTCCCAAATGCAGAACAGAAATATTTGCCAACAACTTCTGCCTTTGCCTTAGCATAAACAGCACAATAAGTGATGGATTGATACTAAGTTAGATTTCCTTTTGCATTGGAGAAAACTTACTGACCTCAAGTCTACTGACTACAGATCTTCCTGTTGTTCTTCTATTTCCCTAATCGGTTCTCTTTATTTTTTTTTTTGACACGTTAAGACCATGACTTTGGAATATTCTCAGAAATGTTCTCACACTGTTCCTAATTTTAAGCATTTTCTTCAACTTGTTTTTTGCTCCCCAGTGACCTGGCTCAGGATTCTTTCCTGCTTTGTTAACTGGGCTCTTCTAAAGTCTCACATGTTCACTACTGGGTTGCCTTTGGGGAAAACAAACAGCTGTAGTCAACTCCTGATGACTTCTACCTGTTCATACATAATTAAAAAAAAAAAATTGCAGTCTTCTACTCGATACAGATGAGCATCAATGTAACCTCACCTTCCCAGCTCAACAGATAGGTTAGAAGATAGCTGTAGCTATAGATCCTAGAAATGTCAAAGGCCTTTCAGTACTGGCAATATCAGTTCTTCAGATGTCCCTCAAAACACAGCTCTCTTCCCCAGTGAGAGCATCGCTCCTTAATAGTCCTGCTCATTGCAGATGACAGGTCCAGGAACGGCATGCACTCTGTCGCAGTCATCAGGCAGCAGATGTGTTGCTCCTGGTTGGAGGACTGACTGATTACAGCCACTCACATGGACTTTCCTAATTAAAGGTTAGACTATAATTTTAACATTTCAACTAGAATGAAAAAAAAGGCTCTTTATGGAAATATCAGCTGGTCTTGGTTGCCTGGGCTTTTATAAATGTTTGTGATACTTTCCCTTTGTCCATAAAGACCACTCAACATATTTCACTGATAAGTGGAATGACCAAGCCTCACTTCTCTGATATGCTTCTCATTTTATCTCTTCTGATAAAACTGCTCAGAGCAAAAGTTAAGGAATGCATGCCTTTGGCTCTTTTTCATTCAGCTTCAGCTACTGAGAAATTGGGCTGCATCTATCGCCTAGGAAGTGCCACCATGATGTGTAAGAACAGAGAAAGCTGACAGAGTGCTTCCCAACATGCCAATGACTGTCACTACACTGCCCTGAATAAAAACAAACCGAGTTGCTGACGACTCACTTCCTATTTTCCTAAACCTGTCAACAGCTGGGATGCCAGTATTACTTTTCTCTGTGGTAAAGTGCTGAGATTTGTTTTCTCTGCTGATGGAACCCGTGTGTAAAGCTGCTCTCTTTGACCTTTCAGAGCCTGCACACAGTGTACTTTAAGGCCCTAATTATTCTGTGGCTGTCTGGATGACTGTGGGGTCTCAGGTTTCTATTATTGTTAGTTTTAATTTGGTCACTTTCAAATTACACTGGTGGGCAGCAGAAATCCTCGGGGATCTGGGAGCAGGCATGGTGCAGAGCACTGTGGTGTCTGAACAATGGGCAGCACCAGTGTCACTATGTGACAGAGCAACGAGTGCAAAAAGAGAGGCCTCTCTTGCTGAGCAGGACACAGAGTTAACGCTCAGGCTTTGGGCAGCAGCTAGATGGGTTCTGCAGTGCTCTTACCTGATGGTTGAGCCAGGAGCTGGGGATCTCAGGTCGCCCTCTG